CCACTATTCGCCAGCTTTAATTAGAAATGTTATCCATCCACTACATGCATTGTAAGAACAAGAATAGAGACAATTGCTAGCAAAAATGAAAATTATTTATCATAAAAATGCCCAGAGAAACTAGCTTGGATAGTTTTCCTGGGACACATTCCCTACAAACTAATATTCTTCAGATTTGTATGTTTACAATTATATGATGATAAAATGTAGGTAGAATATGTTATAAATAATTATGTGGGGACTTCCAGAATTGTCAATTATCTATCTGTCAGGCAAGTCTTAAAGGAAGGATGTGAAAAGCTGAATTAGTATATTGGAGGAAAAATAGCTTCAGAGTGTAGGAATCCTTAAGGTACACTGAAACTACAATTAATTCCTAGTCAGCATCATTAGGTGAGAGATGCAGATTTTTTTAAAAAAATTATCACCCTATCATATCTGGTGGCAGCCTGCTAGAGAAGGACAAGTCAAACTGCTTCCAATTAAAATGACAGCAACTGTACAAAATTAATTAAGTTGCAGCTACAAAAAATAACAGAATGGCTCCCATGCCTCTTAATCATTCCAAGTCATTTTTGGTTATATACAGAATGTTAGAGATGCAGACTGCAATAGTTTCAACACTTTTTAGACAAAAGTGGTATTTCCAACCAGAGGATGTTGTGCACTACAGACAGTCCATTGCTTACCATCTGTTATCTGAGGTCAACAGTGTTAAAACTGGGGTACATCTATTATACTAGTGTAATATTGTTGATGCAACTAGGCCCTTGCAGCATCTGTGGTGCTTCTGCTGCTTGTTTTGTTAGAGGCTTCACTCCATCCCCTGAGTATCCATTGTTTCTTTCAGACCATTTCATTCTCATTGAATAGCATTGCTAGTAAGTGTCTAGTGTCTAAAGACCATGGATTGTTTCTTCCATGGGAAAGGGCAGGAGCCTTTCTTTTTCCATTGTGGGTTTCTCTACATATCATTGAATACATTGCATAATGAATGAAATGGTGAAAAGGGTTTTGTCCATTCTGTAACCACTCCAGACTTTGCCATTTCTGTAGGCATCATTTATGCACAGCATAGTCCCAATTAAATGGTCAGCATCTTGAACTAGCATGTTTCATATTTTTGATAGTTTTGATTGGCAAAATACAAGATCCTTTGGGGGAACATTGCAAGGGAGCCAGGAACTCTTCAGCTGGTTTCTGGGAAATGCTATTACTGGTGCCCTTAAGATATGTTTGATTTGCAATGCCTAGAATTTTCTTTGATCATGCAGGGTACTTAGCTGGGAAGTGTGACCTAGTGACTACTGAAGAGAAAATGCTGAATTATATCTGTAGATGATAGCAGATAGTACTTTTTTTCAGATTTAAACATTGCAGCTTTTTACTAGCCTTACTGACCCACTTCTTATATTAAACCAAATGATCTACAAAACAGTTTGAGAAGACATAAAATGAGAACATCAAATCAAAATGACAACCTATTCTATTATTGTGACAAGAAACACAACAGATAATAAGTTAAATTAAATAATGAAGGATTTTATAGTAATGTCATTTCCCCCCATATTTTTAACACAGAGTTTATTGGTGCAGGGCTTCAAACATTGTTTTCTTTTCCTTCATTATTCCTCCACTGTTATTTTGGCAATCATAAATTGCCTGTTAAATTCATCATTACCACTCATTTTGCAGGTACCAAATCTCACCATCATAGCCAATTGCACTGGCTAATTGATTTAGATAGTTGCAACCATAATTCACAAGCTGAACCTCTTTGAGTGGTAACAGGCTGACATTATCTATAAATATAGCAACAGATGAGAGAAAATGAAACATGCCCAGTGTTAAATGAAACATCACAAATTGAAAACAAAGGTCTGTTAAATAAACTGACAGCTGCTTAACAGCCCAACCAGCCACCTGGTGTGCTATCATGATTTACAAAAACTCAGTGTCTCTGCCAACTCAAGGAAAAATGCTACTCTACGTAAGTGTTATGAGAGTGTAGAATTATTGTTGAATGCAAAAGTTTAGTACCCTTGGTCAAATTATGTATTTTCCTGAATTTCTATTAAGATAATTCTTGTTTCTCCAACACAATTGGGCCTGGTAACATGGCCATTAAATGAAGAGGTTCAGTGGAATCATGATTGTGTTTATGATATTCAGTTTTCCTTTGCATTTTAGATTAAAAACACAAGAAGTTATTTTTTCATTGCTGGCATAATCATGAATGGTGGCTAAAAAAGCTTGATCATGGTTTTGCAAGGAATATTTGTGATTGTGAGCAGTAGTATGGGCAAGGCAGTATTTCAGGACACTCTTTAAGTCTCATTGCATAGCTAAAGCATTTCCTTCAAATCAAACTCAATTCATGCTGACTTCTGGGAGATACCTTTGTAGTTTTCTAATCAGCAATATGGAAATAGTTTGCCACCATTTTAGGATTGCTTTTTTTTAGTTCCCACTGTGGCCTATAAATTTGTAATCCTTATAAACCCCTGAAGATCTCCTGACTCAATACACTCTGAACCTAAACCTGATTATCTTCAGAGATCAGACAAAATCAATTATGCCTCCTGCTAGGAGAGGCTTCTTAATGTAGTCCAACTACTTACATTTTGAAGTTGAGGCTATCCCTCCTGCATATAAATAATTGTGAACTGTGAATTGAAAACAATGTTTGGTGATGGGAAAGGAAGGTTGAGATGTTCAAATGAACAGAAATGTTAAATGACTGCATATAGCACTGTGAAAAGTATAGGCAAGCCAGGTAGTCCTCACTTAACGATCATTTGTTCAGCTTCCATTTGAAATAACAATGGTGCTGAACAAATGGTACTTACCCCAACCCCCAAACTTATAGCCATTGCAGCACCTCTATGGTCACAAGATCAGAATTTGGGAGCTCTGCAGCCTCCCATGTTTATGGCTACCAGGTGTATTTTACCTGCCCCATTTCTGCCCCCATCTCTGCTTTTTTGACTGCCTTGCATTCTGCACCCATCAACCTATATTCACAATCCCTGCCTAACAATCTGCTCTGGAATTATGATGGTCTTCATCAGTTATGTGGTTGTAAAAATGGGATTACATAGAAAGAGCTCCTTTGGGAAATGAAAAGCTGAATTCCACCTATTCTAGACTACTGGAATGATGTCAAGATGGTTTAGGGGGCATTGCTTTGCCATACTAAAATCTAGGAAATTCACACATGCGTGAACATACACATACTCAAAGAGACACTTATTTACTCACTCACTCACAAATCTTTTTTGTATTCCAAAAGAAACAAAAAGAACATTCTCAGACGGAGAATCTCCTGACTGAATACACTGAATACACTAAACCAAAACAAGCTTTTTGTGGGAGACAGCAGCATACATTTAGGGATTGTAAGGACAGTAAAGGATTTCATTTAAATGTGACAATAAGAATACAACCTGGCTAATAATCATGATGTCTTTTAAAGAGTCCAGGAGCTGAAATAAAGGAAAATAAGAAACTGAGACTAATTTCTATTAAGTATCCACACTAGAGGGCACTAGAACCCAAATTTAGATTAAAGGCTTTCACAAGTTTTATTTGTTGAAAACTTTAGCAACCTGGAGTGCTTCTTAACTACCCCATTTTCTTCATATAAAACAGGTTAGTAAATGTTCAAGTGCATAAGTGGGAATAGAAATTAATTCAACCTAAGATTGAAGTGATAGCAAAGCTGCTTCTTTTGTTGATTGGTACTTATTTGGATAAAGAAATGACTTTATGTCATGGGCCCTGAAAGGCCTCACCTTGATGGAGATCCTGGGGTAAGATTCAGGGAATGAAGAGGCAAAAACAGAAACTAATGTGGTAGCAAGAGACAGAAGACAAAGAGCATGATTGGCATAATACAAGACAACATTAAGGCCTATCAGTAGTGATAAAGATGGCAAAACATTCAGATTTACCCAGTAATACAATTTAAGAACCTGCTTGAAATGTGATGAGCAAGTAGATATTCCTATACGTTGCTATTATTTCTTTGCTAGGCATTTTGCAAATTAGCTGACTTATTCAGCATTAAAACTAGGTTGGTAGTTGATACAGGTCATTAGTGGACCAAGGAACTCAAGACAAAATCATACAAATAAATCCTGTGATCTGATTTGGATCTATGCATCTTAGTGTATTAAATCTAGAAACTTCATTCAAGTCTCCCATCTTAGTTAAACCTATTTATCTGAGTTAGTTCTGGATAGTTCTAAATGCCCAGTCTTCTTCTTAGATAGATAAAGAAGCTTTACAGTCTCTAATATAAATATAAAGGATAGATTTCCATTTTACCTGACACCAATGGATCAGAGAACCTCATATTTCTGACACAAATCTGCTTTTATGTGCGTAATAGCATAATGTTAAAATGATTAGGATAGCAGACTTGTGCCTTCCAATCTTTGTTCAATTTATATCAATCTAGGCAGCATGATTAACAAACAGGGATGATAGGATTAGAATCCAAACAATATCTGGAGAGTCAAGATTTTCATTTCTATTTTGGAAATAAATAATTCTTTCAACAAAAAAGAAAAAAAGGAATTTTTTTAAAGTGCTTTCCAATACAGATGATTTCCTCAACTTGAATGCAAAGTGTCCATTGCCAAGCAGGACAGTTAAGTAAATTTTGTCCCAATTTTACAAACTTTCTTGCCACAGCTATTAAGCAAATCACTGCAGTTGTCAAACTGCTAATACGGTTGTTAAGTGAATCTGGCTTCCCCATGTTGACTTTGCTTGCAGAAGCTCACAAAAGATGATCACTTAACCCCAGGATACTGCAATTGTCATAAATACATGCCAAGTGTCCAATGGTTATGTGAAAAATTATCATAAGTAACATTTTTCAGTATCAGTATAACTTCAGTCACTAGACAAATGATTATAAGTCGATAATTTGTATTCAAGATATTTTTAAAATCTATTCAGTTATTAAACACAGGACCTCTTTAATTGATTGAAAATTATTTTAATTGGTTAATATAACCATTGAGTCAATTAAACAGGTTTTAAACCTTTTTTTGCGATTTATCACTGTTTCTCTTGTATAAAAACAGTCACATAGTGTTTAAAAAAATAAAACAGGATCCAGTTTAATGCAGATATCTTAGGGTTGGCTATATGTTACCTATATACATAGGCACGCTGACTCTCCTTTGGTTTTTTTGAGGTTTTTAAGTGGAATATCTCATTAATCCAGGGATTTCTGCCCGAGCATCAAATATTCCTGGAGGCATCAACCTCAAATTTGGAAACATTCCAAGTTGGTAGTGTACAGAGTGAGTTATATTTAGGAAGAAGCTTGCCATATGGATAAGGTAATGTTTTTTGCTGTAGAACTTCAGTAGTAGTTTAATTCCATACTAACCGCTTCTAAACAAAAAGTCTGGAAACATGAATATATAAATCCATTTAATTAAAAAAAAAACTTAAGTGATGTTGACACAAGCAAATACTGAGCTATGTATACAGGGAAAAAAAACAATTATGGACAGACAATGAAGTACCTGAATATTTGCTAATATAACATTCTTAAGCTTTTAATCTCAATTCCCCTAATTGTCTTCTTGCTGAATACCATTGTCTAAATGGCATACAGCTTGCCAAAAAAGCTTCATTTATGGCAACTAATGCTTTTTAAAATTTATTTATTTTATTTTATTTTATTTTTCTAAACAAACTAAAAAAGAAAAATAATCCAGCCTAAAATTTCAGTATGACACTGAAGGAAGAATCCTGTTTGGATAGTATAAAATTATGAAAGAGCAGCCAGTTGTAATACTGTCTGGTTTGTGCTTCGTTTAGCCATCTTGATTTTCATCCCCTTCAGATTCAGATTCTAAAAAACAGACAGAAAAATAATAAGTTTCTTATAGCTTTAAAAGTACTACATGCGCGTGCACACATGTAGATATATACAATTCCTCAAATAAATTAACCACAAGCCAAAAGGAGGAGGTTGAAAGTGAGAAGCATTTATTTTAATCAGTGGTGTAAATGCCAATCTATTGTCAAGAATAAGCTTCTCCGCCATGGATATTTCGTATGTTCCTCATTAAGTTGTGCTAATAGGTATGTTGAATTTAACACCCAATATATGAGATGGGCATCTGGCCAGGCAAAATAGACCTACAAATACATTGATAAAGTTTGGACTGTAAATTAATCATACACAAAGATGAAAAATAAACCTCATGATAGGGACCTTAAGGAAAAATTGGGAAGGAGAGCCTGCAACTGCTACATCTCATGATACACAAAGTGTAGCAGTTGTAGTCCCTCCTTCTCAATTTTTCCTATTAAAATGTTTTATAATTGTATCATGAGATGTAACAGATACAACTGCTGGCAGTCATCTCCCAAAATAAAAATAGTAATAAACCTGGACAGGACATTTCTTTACCACTACTCCCACTAAATATCTTTTAGGTTCTGAAGGCCACAAAAATCTCCCTGGTCCCTGGAAAACAAAAACAAAACTGACAAGGCCATATCTCCCACCATCAACCATTTCATGCCAATGTCTGGCCGTTTCACCCGCCTTTCTTGGAGGAAAGGGCTGTGAACCCTATTTGTTCTTCCACAATACTGCAACAGACCAAGGCAAGGTTTCCCCAATGTGAATGACATGGACAGGTTCCAAGTATCTTTAGGACTCAGCATTAAAACCTATTCTCCCATCACTAAGCCAATCCCATTTCCCTGCCTGCTGCTGCTTTTTCCTTGGGAGAAGGAAGAACAAGGTTAAGACTGCTTCTTCTTCCATGGGACAAGTTCCCTGTGTTGTTGTAAAGCAGAGGTCTTCAAACTTGGCAACTTTAAGACTTGTGGACTTCAACATCCAGAATTCCTCAGCCAGCTATGCTGGCTGAGAAATTCTGGGAGTTGAAGTCCACAAGTCTTAAGGTTACCAAGTTTGGGGATCCCTGTTGTAAAGAAACAAGACTGTCATAAGCATAGCTAGGCCCCTCCTATTTTCATCATATTTATTCTTACTTTACAAGACCATTTTCCTTGATTTTCAGTTAAAATCAGATGGCTCAATTAAAGACATACAAATAAGGCAACAAAAAAAAAACAGGAATTTTGCTGTTCATTTATTTGTGAAAAGCCCAACATGTGAAGTTTGGACAGTTTTACTTTAATTCTTCTTGTAGCTCACTTACTGCTTGTTATGAGATTATTACATTATGTAAGGGTATATCTGTTTTTAAAAAATTACGTGATTCCGTCTTTTTGGGGAGATGTTACTTCAGTCAACTATTTTTAAAAAAACAAGATGGAAGAATTACTAAGCTGAAGAATTTATAGGAATTCAATAAAGCAAATAAATATTTTAATTCTGAAGGCAAAATGCAGATTCATTATTACAACCTGCCATCCATGTGTAGATTATATTAAATTAGACTTCAAAGGGACTTGTTTTATTATTTTTCAACAGGATATAAAAACACTTCTCCATGAGAAGCCGCTATATGGAGATGGAGAGTGAAATCAATCACAATTAAAAAAAAAATCTCTTATTAACTATTGGTAGAACATAAATGAACTGTTCTTTCATTTATGGCTCTATGCCACAATGGAACTAGCCATAGCTTTTGATTTAAAAATAGAAGTAGGCAATCTTGCAATTTTTAGTACAAAATAGTCAGCATTTCAGCTCAAATGATACCTAGTAAATAAGGTGATGAACTCTCAGTTTCAGAGAAGTGATAAAGGATGATGCCAAATTTAAGCAGTCACTTCCTCAAAAGAAATTTCTAAACACAGATAAATGCTATGTTATGCTTCTCTACCTTATCAATTTGATGTGCCATCCTCCAGTGCATGTATAGGTATATGTATGTGTATATACACACACACATATACATATACATGCATAAATACACACACACACACACACACACATATATATGGGGGGAGAAAGGGGGGGTATATAGGTATGTATTCAGCTCTGTTCGGGTATTTTCCCACGTCATTATAGTTGTGCTTTTAAAATTGTAGTGACGTCTCGGCAGAATCTCATCTACCATCATCAGGCTTCTGTATTGTGTTTGTCTGTGAGTCAGACTTTTACAGCCATTTCAGTTTTAAATTTGATGCTAGCCTACTGCTGTGTTAGAATGGTTTTTTTCTTCATCCTGATTGGTTGGGAGTCTTGGTCTGTGTTTATTGGTCTTAGGGTTTGCTGTGTTCTGCTTGATTGGTGTTTCTAATATCTTCTGTCTGTTTTGTCTTGATTGGCTGGCAACATTGTGTTTCCTGTATTGGAGGATTTTAGTGCTAGTGGGGGTGTGACTTGATTGGGTGGGGGCTTGGCTGTGTTCTGATTGGGTGGGGGTGTGCCCCACTAGCAGTGAAAAGGAAGAAGCAGCTGCAAGCTCACATCACTCTGAGAAGCACAGAGCCGAAAACAGAAGCCTGAAGATGATGAATGAGACTTCATTGAAACGTTGCCTAGATACTACCAATCTTACGTGGGAGAAAACCCGAATAACCAAAGATCCACATACAAATACCCGCAAGAACCTCAGAAAACACACACACACACACACACACACACACACACACACACACACACACA